CTGAACGAATCATACAGTCTTTTGAGTTACGATTGAAATCGTAGAAAAAAAGATATCCACTAAACTGTAATTTCTGGTAATTCGTACGCTCGGCTAAAGTAAAGACAGCAAAAATTGCGTTTGGTAGTAAGTGCCGAATTTTTCAAGAGATGGCACTTCAATAAGTTAAATAAGGATATTCCACGTGTTTGAGTGAGACCAGAAGATATTGTAAGAAGTTCATTTAAAGATACTACTGACACTGAAAAGTCTGCTTTATCGACTTTGTACAAATTTGGCCGACCTTTCAGCATCCTCTTAACTTTCTTGCGTCGTTTCGTGGCGACCATGCTACGCGTATCAAAGATTGTAATTTGGTGCAGTTAATTCGAAGAGTGGTACGCCCTCTCGTGCCTGGCGCCCAACTTTGCGTTTTCAGTTGCCATGTAATTCTGAGCTATCGAGATCACTGTTTTTCGCCCTGACTGAAGCGACGGGTAACCTCGAGTCTTGCTTTCCGCTCGTGAAGGTAGTTGCAATATATGTACATATACTTAGTGATGTTACATCATAATAAAAATATAAAATATAACAGCGATTATGCCGATAACGATAACGGCGCGGCGGCGTGTCTGACTCGAGAGATGAGACTGGCACGAGATCGCTGAAAAAATTTTTGTTTAAATAAAAATGTTCAATTATGACATAAAATAATAGAGTAATAATAAATCATGCGGATTTATATATTTTGTTCATTTGTTTCTCATAAAAAAAATTGTACATAGATTTTCCCTTTTTTATCATACTCACTTTCTTAAAAATTAATATTCTGAATTGCTGTGTAATAAAAATACAATGTCTACGTTTAGAAATGTTAGAATATTATGATTAATTGCTTTAGATCAAATCAATACAGCTTCAATTTTGAGGAATTATACAAATTAAAAAAACAATACAGAACGTTTGGAAACATCATTCAAGTGTCTCTATGTATCACTTCATTCTTTTTGTTGAATATCGAACGAAGATAATACATGGGGGGACATTTGGGTGACGTTTCCGAACGCAGTCCTGCAGTGTGTGTAATCTTAAGACACAAATGCAGCTCATTGTCAGATCGAACGATTCCGTATTATATCAAATACAATCCTTTACTTTGTTCCCACCAGTTTGTAATAGTAACTGTTTATATAAAAAGAACATAAATACTTATAATTGTACTGTAAGAGTGAATTAACAATATGTGTGGAAAAACACAAGCATATTTTAAATTTTAATTGGAAGCAATAATGCTCCCATGAATAAATCAGAAATAATAATTAAATAATGCCAATATAAGCCGACACGGATATTGATGTTTAATAATTTTTAGTGTTATAATCAGGAACCGTAACCATTATGATATATATGCAATAAATTATACAATAACAATTATTTGTTGATCGTTATTCTCGTCCCTTCCCATAACAATTATCAAATAATTTTTTGTTTTCAAGTCGGCGATAACAATTATCAGATGATTTTTAAATACCGATTGCCCCATAACGGTTATGAGTTGATTTGATCGATATCAGTCACCGATAACGATTATTAGGTGACGCTTATCATATCGATCCTATCAGCATATCTCATAATGATTGCATTTGTTTTCTTTTATGTGAGTTTTATGAAAAAATATTACAATTGTCTTTTATTTTTCTTGAACTTTTAACACTGAAATCGCCAAGTAGCTGTATTACAAGTACTGGCCGTAATACTCTTAGATACCATAATA